TAGGGACTGTAAGTAATGACCTTGAGCTTATTTCCCTTAATTTTATTTGGGTCAGTCCGTGCTTATCAAGATCAGTGCAAGTAGAGTTTTACTTTCTGTGTGCCTCCAAGGAGCAAAAGGCAACATATTGTAACATGTGACAAAGTTCATAGTAGGAAACGTCCAGGCAGCTGAAGCCCCTGGCTGTGTTCAAGAGATTGGAAAATGTGTGACCCATGGGGAAGATATCAGAAAAATCTTCATAAGATTTATTCACTTACGTAAGATTATTCATAAGACTTATTTATTTACTCTGTGAGTATTTGTGTGGGTGTGTACATGTACCAGGATGTGAACTTGGCAGTCAGAGGACAATGTGCAGGAACCAGTTCTCCCCATCTACCAAGTGGGTCCCAGGGATCGAACCCAGATCATCATGCTTAGCAGCAAGCACTTTGTCCACTGAGGCATCTCACCAGCCTGCAGAGAGGGCCTTTAACTTCCACTTACATGGGTGAGAGAAAAGATAGACAGCTAAGAAAAGTATCTAACCAGAGAGGCCATCAATAGGCAACATGTGGACAGAAAGATGTCAACTCAGAGGCTATGGTTACCTACAAGGCCTCAACCTCCTATGCTGGTGAGTGAGAGGAAGGCTCAAAGATAAAGAATGCATTTGGCATGCAGAGGTCCTGGGTTCATCCCCAGCACCAAAACAAAAAAGTAACATTAAAATGTGGGCAAAAGCTCAGAATTATGTTGTTGTTTAACTTCTGAAAGACCTTACTTCAAAGGCACATAACCCCTTCAGTTCTCTACAAAAGAACTTTTGACTAGATGTGGGTATCTGTTAAACAGTCACAGGGAAGAAATAGATAAAAAAAAATACGTTGAAAAAAGTTTGAAGTGTTAAATGTATGTAAAAGAGAGGTGGAAGGGCTGGAGAGGTGGCTCAGTGGTTAAGAGCATTGACTGCTCTTGCAGAGGACCCAGGATCGATTCCCAGCACCCACATGGTGGCTACGAACCATCCTTAACTCCAGTTCCAGGGGAATCTGAAGTTCTCTTCTGACTTCCGTGGCATTTCATGACACAGGTGCACTCACATACATGCAGGCAATACACTTGGACACATAAAATAAAAACAATTATATATATGTATAAAGAGAGGTGGAAATAGCCTATGAGGGAATCATAACATCTGGTTCAAAGACCCTCAAGTTAGCTGTCATTCTGTCATTCTGTAAGCTACGGGTGGGCTACCTCTTCTTAGCAGCTGTCTATCCTGTACGTATAAATCAAACCTGTACTTGTAGAATATACTATAATATTGACTTCCCAGCTCAAAAAGTCACTATCCATATTTGTAGCTAACACACACATAGTAGAAAGCCCACGTCATTAATGAGAACTTCAGTTATCTTTCGGTCCACAGTTTTCCATGGTTTATTAATGGCATAACACATTAATTTTTCGTTCAGGATGACCTTTACAACGCCATTAATCTTCAAGGCTTTTATCCAACTACATTATTTCTCATTAGAGTTTCAGCTTTCAACATCTGCATTTGTTGAAAAGTAAAGTAAACTGCAGTGGCCTCAAACCCTCAAAGTATGAGGGAGAGAGACATGGTGAAGGGACCTTTCAGGAAGTAAAAAAGGAGCTTTTATTATAGGAGCAGAGACAGCCATATGAGAAATAGCCTAAATGTTTGTCTCTATAAAACACTTGGTCATAATCAATCCTTGGGAGCGGTGAAGTAAAATACTCCGTATATGATAAAATGCATATATATATATAAACTCTAGTGGAAAGTCTAGTTCGAGTAATATTAGAAAAGTGAGGGGCTATGTCAACGCTGTGATATTTATGAAACTCCATGAACCCTTCCAGCCAAATCTAATGTGCTTCCCTTTTCCTAGCACACTGAAGTCGGTCTAACCTCATGATCCCTCAGGACAGGAGCAGAGTGAGTGTGGACAATGACGGAAAAGAGTGCGCAGACCCCCAACTTTTCCAAACTCTTCGACCCCAGTTCTCACAGGTTCTCATCTGACTGCCACCGCACTGCACTAGGCTGAGTCCATATTAAGAAGTCCCCTGTAGTGTTCAGAAATATTGTTCTCCTGCCTTCTTTCTGCCTGGCTCATAATTTCTATGAACCTTGACCAATTTTCTCTGTATTTCCTTCTTTCCCAAAGCAAAGACCTGGCTTTTCTGCTTCCCAACAAGCTGAGGGCTTTCCCCCAATCTCAGGTCTGTACCTCTCTCTATTGCTTCTCCTCTTTCTCCTTGGAGAGGAATATATATACATACATACATACATATATATATCAGTCTAAATCTTCTCAATCACTTCTCAACATTAAACAAGCTCAGTCTCCATCATGCCTGATTGAGGGGACTACATGATTGATGGAACCTACTTTCCTTGTGTTCTTCACATCTTTGCTGTGGAAGTCTCCTGAAATTACCCTGCTTCTACTGCAGAGCTGACCTCTCTATGAACTCCACCTCAGTCCTAAGGCTTTTCTTCTTCATGTTCAGTTTTTACTGCAAATGTGCCACCATTAAATAAGCCCTCTGCTTTGAAACTTTTAGCTTCCCACGGTCAACTTGGTACTGCCCTGTTCGTTCATTTGTTTTGGAGGTGACTGGATTGACTGGCATATGTAGAGTTTCTCTGTTATATCACATCTTTTATGTCCTCAGATATGACTGAAATTAATAAGGGCTTTCTGCAATGGCTTGCATACATACGATTTCATCCACTGTGAGCTTTCTCATGTTTTTTAACAGGTCCTCTATGGACTGACTGAAGATATTTCCCAAAATGCATACGTATTTAGAATTTCTGTCACGTGAATTCCTTTATGTTTTTAACAATCCCACGTTGTTTATGTACACAACATTTATGGTTTTTAAAAAAGTTTATGTGCATGTGTGTTCGTTGTATGCATGTACGTGCATCACAGGTGTGCAGTGAAGAGCACGTGGAGGCCAGGAGAGGGCGTCAAATCCCCTGGAACTGGAATTACAGACAGATGTGAGCTGCCGTGTGGTTTCTGGGAACTGAACCTGGGTCCTTCTGCAAGAGCAGCCAGTGCCCTTAACCACTGAGCCATCTCTCCAACCCCACAGTCTTCATTAGTTTCCTACCTAAAAAAAGGTATGGTGGTTTTAAAGTGTTCAAATAACCTTTGATATCCTTTCCTTCCAAAGTTGGAGCCTAGTTTCCCTTTGTGCATTTGGGCTGTGCTTGGTGAGTGCAATGAGCATGGACTGAGGGGCAGAAGTCTGAAGCACAGGCCCTCTCTGTTCTTGCTCTTGGCTCGCTTGAGAAGATGTCTGCTTCCTGAGCATCCCTAAAGGAGGGCTCACGAGTCAGGAACTGACGTCTCCGGCCAACTGCTATGCTATTGACCCATCTTGGAAATGGCTCACTGGACTCTAGTGAGGCCCTCAGGTGTCTGCTGCTCTGACCTTTCTCTGTACTACCATCACGTGCCGGATCCCAAGGCAGCAATAACTAAGGCCTGCCCCTTGGAAACTGTGAGATAATAATACACGGTAAAGAGCAAGACTTGGGGTTGGTTTTTACACAGTGGGGAGCTAACACAACAGGCATCTGTGTTCTTCACATGGCTCTGGAAACCTTTCCTGCTGAGCGGCTCCTGTCAAGGAATAGCTTCCATATCTAAAACCCTAGCGCTGCGTTTAACGCACCAGACTTCACAGTTTCCCTCTGAATATTGATACCGAAATGCTTCCTCCTTCTAATCTTACACGTATTAAATTTCGTATTCATGTCTTCCTCCACACTTTGTCTCACTTTCTGTTTCTGTTCATATATGAGGGGAGTGCAACCCGTATGGATTTGTAAACCCAAGTTCTTAGACTTCCGTCTTTGAAGTGACCACTTCCAAATATATTTGGTTGTGGATGACCTGTCAATTCTGCCGTGAATGACACCTCCCCTGACCCCACTTTGCTTATGTCTCATCTGACATGCTCTTTCCCTAGAGTACAACAGTGCTTTCCCTGATTCCAGAATTTTCCCATTGCTAATACTCATCTCGAAAGTTCTGATCAAACTGTTCTGTGAAGACAACATGAAAACACCACATGAGTGTTCACTCTCACCCAATCCGAATCCCGCCATTTCCTCCTTTACCCCCCGCCACGCTACTCAACATTCCAACCAATCCGTGTGTTTCTCAGAAGTCTATTGCTCTGTGGTTTTCTCTTTCCTTATAGCCTGGAATGCCTAGGAATATATCTTTTGTTCAAAGCTCAGTTTAAGTAATGCTATCTATAACTTAGTCTATCTTGATTCTTCCGGAATAGAACCCAAAACTCTTTTCTTTGACTATAGGATTGGAGTAACCTTTGACATTCTGACTTTTATTAAAGATGGATAACTTTTCCTCATGTTATCTATCATGAGCTATTTAGGAGATGGTTTGTGACAGATTTTTCAAATTCACACACGGTAAACCCATCAATGAATGTGTGTTGAATTAAGTATGTTTGAATTAGTGCATAAAGATAGATGGTTGAGATTTTTTGTTATCTTATAGCCAATACCCTAGTGTTGGTTAACTCTACAGAACTTGCAGCTACAGAAAAGCAAAGACACCTTTGCTATTACAAAGGATCCTTTGGTATATTCAAGCAGAATTCTCATTCAGAATGAAACAGACAAACTTCATATTCTCACAGTTCATAGTTGATCCAGGAAGAATGTATTCATCATTATATATTTGTACACATCAGAGACAGGGGGGGAGATCTCTACATAAATATAACTGGTACTTATAGAATTTTAGGGGACTTTAGAACTTTGATCTCAGTTAGAAATTTTGTTTGCATGTTTAAAGCAGACCTGGATGGTGACCCACATCAAAACTCCCTTATCCATTTCAAGCCAGCCACAGATTCTGTTTGACATGCCATTTAAGATGATCTCATTCATTTGCCATAAACAGAGAATCATTATGAACAAAAGAAACAGAACTTACCTATTGTGCTAACTCTCGCTGAGGGGCTAGCTAATGCTGCTGGGACAGAGGCTTTGAGGGGGCCTGCTCCACTGTTTATTCTCAGAGCTGCCATGTGGGGAGAGGTGGGTGATGTGGGTGATTTGCCATCAGAGGTCTTGGGTTTAGCTGAGAGGTTCAATGGCTGTACCACTTCATCCTGTAAGGATCATTAGAACATGAGCTGTGAGGAGGAAAGCCTGATCAGAAACATTTAAAAAACACGGGGATGCTGTCTATCATTTCCCATCAGCGATCTTAACGCTTACTCTCAACATTACACTGGTTAGCTTTTGACATAATATTGCCTTCAACCGTGTAGTAAAAAAGCCCTGGTTGTATAACAAAAACACACATGTCCTCAACTCTACCCAGAAAGCACATTAAGTGATGTGACCTGAAATAAAAAGTCTTCAAAGTTATTCTCTATGATATCCACTTTTTAATTGAAAGCTATTGCACAGTTCATAGAAAACTATGGCACTGGCCAGTGAGGGGTTTTGTTTTGTAAACCTCAGGACACAGGAGTTGGATAACAAGTTCAGGCAGAATGCCTAGATCACCCATGGCTATAACGCTCTGTTTTCAGAATTGCTCTCCAAACTGAATACATAAAGAACATTTTCTAACTTCTTAGAATATACTTGCTTCCCCTAGGTTTCACAGAAACAATTTTAGAGTTGATCCACAAGTGAAAATGAGTATAGCTAACATTATGTGTACCTCCTATTTGGACGTGATATTGTTCTAAACACCTAAGACATTCGCCTTCATGAAGTCCAGAAGAGAGCTCAATGTTTTCCTTGGAAGATCATACATGGCATGAATATGTATATGAGACCAGTTTGGCATGGTTGACTATTTCAGTTATTCCATATTTGAATCATGTATCTCAGCTTTATGCATTTCTCTACTAGCTTTTAGGTGATTTGATACAGCGCATTTATAGATCACTAGATACATCACTATCACTGGGTTTCTACTGCACCATACAAGACTCAGACATCGTAGCAGTACATCACTCGTCTATCACTGCAAACTTCTCTGTTCTCCTGTGCTCTGAAACTGGACCTATCCTGACAATTGTTTGTTCATATTGCATTCAGTGTCACAGAGATTTTATTATGGAATAAGGATTTAGATTCCTTGAAACTACTATTTCATGGGTTAAAAGTATATAATATTTATAAGTAGAAGGAAATTTTGTTTAAAGTAAAATTATCTTTAATCAAATAGGGCAATTAGATAATAGGGAAGCACATATTGATAGGCAAACATTTATATATGTAAATAGTTAACAATAAAGTGTTACAACAAATCATTTAATAAAGAAGGTACAATATGACGATATAATATCAATTTTAAGTTTATGTTTTGAAAGTTACTCATTAGAATTCAGTTATAATTCAATTCTGCATGCTTCAGAAACCATAAAAATTAGGAAAAAAACTACTCATAGCTTCTTTCTTTGTCTCTGATTTGCATTCCAGAGCAAAGCACAGCCCTTTTAAAACACATGAGGTAATTCAAATGGGCCATCTGGCATCAAGAAAGATGTACAATAAATAATAGCCATTATATGGAATTTCTATTCATTCATAGAATCTTGGTAAAAAGTGAAATAAGACGACTCCATGACTGACTGAATGTATGACTTGAGGAAATTTACTTTTGCATTGAAAAAAAGTATAGAGGAAAAATTATTCCAAGATTACTCAGCATGAAGCTCAAGGTGAAATATTCAGTTGAGATGTTCAGAATGAATTATGTGTACCTGGGCTGGCAGAGTCCAGAAGTAATGTGTGCCCCTTTATACACTCAGGTGTGGATGAGTAGTTCTTAAGAAGCAGCCCATGGACCAGTACCATCAGCAGAACCCGGGAAGTGCTGTGAGGTAAACTGTCTACTGAAGATGCTCTGGGGATGAGGACAGCAACTGGTGTTTTAGCAAGCATTGTCAGGTCATTCTAATGCACTCTGCAGCTTGAGAGCTATGACTTATAGAGAGATGCTATTTAAGCTTCCTAGGGGGGCTGGAGAGATGGCTCAGTGGTGACAGCACTGGCTGCTCTTCCAGAGGACCTGGGTTCGATTACCAGCACCCACATGGTGGCTGACAACTGCACACAATACATTCACACATAAATTAAAAATTATAAATAAATTTTAAAAAGTTTACTAGGCTTCAAAAAGCTCCCACAACATGAGAGATCACCATTTAAATAATGTGACCTCAATCTTTGGAATTTGATTGGAACACGACACAAACTATTAATACAATTGGAAGCACATAGGGTTAATAAACTAAACACTACTAAGATTCAGGTGGTTTAGCGGGACTAGAATCTGCATCTTCCCCATCAATTAAATCTAAATATCCCAACAGTCTGGTAGGTTCTTAATACTACTTTGAATATGCTGAGTTTCTCTATGAAATCTGTGGCTTTGGTGATAGCCCTAAACTTCCTTAGGACATAACCAACAACTCTTGCAAAACTTTTGGGAAAGTTTTGAGAAATCTAAGGTTGCAGACTTGACTGTGTGGCGTGGATGGGAGAAGGCAGAATGTATTCCCAAGGTCACAAGGAGACCTTTCAAGCACAGAAGCAGAAGATCATGAGTAGATTCATGGGGGGAGTGACGATGCTGGTGAATCTGAGGGGACTGTGCACATGAAGGCAGTGCAGGCCGTGTGAGCTTTAAGCACAAACGGCTGTTACGTGTGCAGACAGGTGACTGAGGGAAAAGGAAAGCAACGAACCCCTGACAATTTCAATATTCTTCATTCGAGGAAGTGCATGTGTCTGAAACTCAAAAAGTGCAGGGCCCCAAGGACACAACACAGGTTGACAGTTCCAGTGTGTTAGAAATGTCATTCAAATTTGCCCTTTTAGATTTTTCTCCATTGTGTGACCAGGATCATAGTATATTTAGTAAGACCTACATGCATGACTCTTATATTGGTAGGTGCATAAATAATTGTGACCCATTATGTGGTATGATTTCACAATTTGGTCCTTTTAATAATTTACTACTCCTGAGCTACCAAAGCAATGTGTATTATTCACAAAGAATAGAAAAATCACAGAACACTTCAATTTTCTATTAATTATTTTCCATTTGATTACATGAAAATTTTAAAGCCCTTAACGATAAGAAAGGCATGGCCTATTTAGTTATGGCTTACAGCAATAAATGCATAAAGTACAAGATTTTCCTACCTTGTTTTAAACTTGCAATATCTTATCGAGAAAAAAATTGGACAGTTTAGCAGAATAAGCCCTATTCTTTGAAGTAAAACATACATCAATTCACATATAAAAGATTAGATGATTTGCAAGATTATGAAACCATTTCTACCCACCCCATCATCAGGCAGAGAGGAGAACAATTCCCTTCCGGTTATTTGGCCAGTTATTAAATGATGTGGCTACATGGAAACTTCTTACAAATGTTATTTCACAATTACTTCATTTATACATAAGATGATAGTCCCCAATTTTTTATTTACTTTATTAACATCTCCAAACTGGAAAACAATAAATGTTATATGAATATTTATATATCAACAAGTTGAGAACATTTACACAGGCAGGAGACTATTGTATGAATTTGTAGATTTCATTATAAACACTCTAAATCATTTATTTAATATTCAGTTTTTATTGTTGCTGTTTCTTCTTTGAGATAGACTTTCATATAGGTCAGGCTAGCCTTGAACTCCTGATCATCTTCCCTCTCATTTCCAAGTGCTGGGGTTGCCAACATGTGCCACCATGCCTGCTAATAATCATCAGTGCTACGAAGTAAATAAAACAATTGTGCAATGATCTCAAGCTCAGAAAGTTCTGCTCTTTGAACTTATGTGGTAACTTTAATCCTAAAGTTTAAAAAGCACAGTTGGAATTTGTGACATAACTATAAGAGTTCTATCAAACAACCAGTTACACAAAAGTTCACGTACGTGCAAAAGAGTGAAGTATTGTACCCACTTGCTGTTTCGTACCTTAGCCAAAAATTCAGCAGCAAACTCACTCATTTCAGTGATATTTTTGTGCTTCTGTTTTCTATGCAATGTTACATCAAAAATTTATTAATACTGAAAAGTTATTTGGACCACTCAATGAGAAACATCACAAGGTTTCCATTCTAGTAAACATTACCTGTCCAGTTGACAGGTAATTGCTAGAGTTTACTTGAAAAAGGAGTCTCAACTGTCTATCAGATTGACCTGTGGGCATGTCTGTGAGGGATTGTCTTGACTGTTAGTGGATGTAGGAGGGCCCAGCACATGTGGGTAGCACCATCCTTAGGCAGGAGGGCCTGAGCAGTGTAAGGAAGATAGCTAGCATGAACCAGTGAGCACAGCAGAAAGCAGCATTCCCCCATGCTTTCTGGTTCAAGGTCCTGTCCTGCCCTCCCTCAGTGATGGCCCATGAGCTCGAAGTGTAAGCCTAATAAACCCTTTTCTCCCCTTTTGGTTAGAGTATTTCATCACAGGAACAGAGAGGAAATGTAATAGGTTCCTAAACCCCTTATATGGTCCAAGAAAATAAGATTCTGAATTTCCATACAGAAGGTTTAGGAAACTTTTGGTGAATAGAATGTTTAATGAGCTACTAGTTTATCTTTGTCATTGGAGAATGCAAACATAAGGAAACACAGTCAATGTTCCATTTATCCACAGCTCCCAGTGACTTGTCTGGGAGTGAACATCTCACTTAACAGCTGTGGTCATAGCAGTAGAAATATGGAAACCCTGCTTCATTTGTGTTCTGGCCAAAGACAATTCTGCAATTATAATGAATGAATGGAGCAAAGGATGGGGCTCCAATCTACAGCAGTAGGGAAACACAAGAAATGCCATCAGCAGCTCCGGGACCATTTCGCACATGTGAGATGACTGAAATCAAAGTAGACTCCTGATAGTTTCAATTTGGTCTTATTTTAAATATTCTACTTTTATAACTATATGTATGATTTTTCATAATTCCTTGCTTTACAAAGACCAAATGACTAAGAAAAATCAACCAGCATCTTATATTAATATTTTATTGAAGTAGGAGAACAGGCTTCAGGATCTGTGTGGTTATTCCCTTCTTACTGAGTCTCAGTCCTCTATTTCTTCCTTAAGGAACTTTAATAGCAAGGTATAGTAGT